GCCTATTCGAAATCCTTCTTGATATAAAATAAGGACAAGAAATTACATTAAAAGAGAAGAGTGTATGAAGTCATATGGAACGTTCCGTTTCTATTCACGCGTCCAGCTTGAATTTTTCACCTGTGTCAAATTACTCGCCAATTATATTATCGGCTTCTAACCAATAAAGAATTTCCCCTCCACAATCCAAGAAAGCTGTATATTTCAAATTATCTCTCTTCGTCTACTTTTGAACATATACAACTGTAGATCCCTTCCGTGAGCAACGAACTCTCTTGCCTTTGTTTTAAACATTTTTGAATATTATTTTGTGTCAGATAATTTAATCTGTTGTATGAACGTTTCCTTTTCATGACAATTCGTTAAAACAACTGACTTTAAAATTTTCTTATTTATTTTCCTGAAACGAGCGACTGACGCTACTTCAAGCGTATAAATTCGTAAATAAATTTCTTATCTTGCTTTGTTAAAATCATCCGTGCGTTTCTTCGTCATTGCCATCCTTCCTTAATCTTCTTAACATGGGTAAATCAACTGTTCATTTTAACCCCTAAACACAACGCCACTATAGCATCATACATTAAAATCGACTCTACAGTGGCGCGAAAGAAGCTCCGCTTAAGGTTGTCTGGTAGATCAGATCTTCAGATTACATCCATTTTATTTAAAGGTGCACAGGCTTTAGCTGTGCAAATTTTCACATCCTTTTCAGTAGAATTTATTTCGTTTCTTAGGTATGTAAAAAAATTCGACATATTTTATTGATTCATTTATTTTTGTCCATATTTTCATCATTTTTCCGATTTAAATATACCACATTGTAATAATAGAAAGGTGACATATTGTAAGAACCTGGACATAAATTTACCTTGGATGATCTAGAAATTGAAGCACCTTCTGTACACTTTCGTCTTTGTAAATTGATTTCTCTGTAGGAGGAGCATTTCTTAAATGAAAATTATCTTTTTGTGAAGTGGGATTTCTTTCGCATTTTATCAATCCAGCGGCAGTCGTTTATCTTGCAAACCGAGAGCTGCTCTAACCTTACCGATTGGGCACTTATATAGACTCTGCCTTAGCTATGCTAATTAGGCAGTCATTTACATAACACTACATATGTTCAGACTTATTACGGTAAACAGCCAATGCATCCTTTTTCTGTTCATATAATCATTTATTTAAATTCCTTCAGCTTTCTTCTGTATAATCCCTGTGGCAATTATTTTTTTAATCATTTAAAAAGAAGTGGGGTTACAAAGGCTCCCCGGAGATGAGGCGACATCACCCACCTCGAATTAAGACAGAATTACTGACAGACAGAAGCAATAGAATCTACTGAAATGAATAAATTTTTTAACTCCATGGATGTTCAGTAGAGGTTTGAAAATGATGATGGCTTACGCGTCCTGTGTATGACGATAATCCAGCAGCAAGTCCTCAGGAGATTGGAGGTTCTGAAGAGCGTGGAATCACCTCTTAATGGCTGTTGTTCCCAGGTCCACTCTGACTCGGGGTGGTAGCACCTGTTAGGGTCCTAGCTATGGATAAATAGTGAATCCCTAAACAAAAATCAACAGTACATTTTTATAATAAAATGACGAACAATACATTTTTTATAGCAAAATTACAATCAATACAGCACTAAAAATATATAAAAATATATTTTTATAGTAAAATTACTATCAATACACTTTATGATCTACATAATATATATCTAAAAATGTATGTATGTGTGTGTGTGCGTGTGTGTATGTGTCTAAGCCAAAGTATGGATCAACATAAATGACAAAACCTGATATTGCCCATAATGTCAAAATCATATTCACAAGTATTAAGACATTATCATATGATAGACAGCATACTATCTGTAGAATAACAACAAAATTATCAAATTTAGGGGAACGTAGAAAAAGGAGAGGATGTTGGTTAGTTACAGATATATATATTTGGTTGTAATGTAGTGTTTTATAAAACATCAGGATTTTATTCACTCGAATGATCCCATAATGACGCGGCAAATCCTGACGGCGTGCTGGTGAAAATGAAACCATAAACTTGTCATTTAGCGTGAAGTGCGTTTGCACCTACTTTATGTAGGCCAGGTTTCGGATCCTCTAACTGACCAATCGTTTTGCTTCTCATGTAGCATATAGCCACCCTTAATTGCTGAATAGCCTCCGTTCTATATTAAGGGACCGAATATGAGTAAACAACTTTTCTTCAAAAAATTATTTGAATAATTTCGATAATCCGACTGTTAAGTTAGACATTGAAGTGTCGGAGTTAACTCCTCCTTCAGTTCGTTAACCCTTTCACCAGGGGTCTCTATAAATAAGTGGCTATAAATAGTCGCTGACCCTTCGCCTCTTCCTCTTTTTTCCTCAGGCCTTTGGGCCGACACCTGGAGGCAATTCTCTTTTAACCTCAGGCCTTTGGGCCGCCACCTTGAGGTAAATCTCTCTTTTTCCTCAGGCTTTCAGCCTTATTACCTCGGAGATGTGAACGCTCACAGGGATAGCGTTTCCCAAATGCTGAAAACACACTAAACACAATACACACACACACTTTGTCCTTTGTAACTGTTTCCATGTAACTTGTTATTAATATATATATTTGTATACATATATTATCGGTCTTGTGTTTGTTTTTCTTTGCCTTCTTTGGACTTAATTAAAGTCCAACTTTTTCATGTAGTTGGACCAGCTAGCAGGAAAATCTGAATCTACATGTGTTCTTCTACGTCAACTCAACAACATTACATTACAACATTACAGCCACGGTCCACTACAGAAGAATCAAAAACAAAAGTATTTTCAGTCGTCGAGAAAAAGCGCACATTTTGCTAACAGAATAATGGACATTATATATAGAAATTAAGAAAAGTATTGTCAAGAGGAGGTTTTGTGGAGTAATGGATAGCGGCTCGGATTGGGGAATCGGAGAGCCGAGTTCGAATCCATTACATTCACTTACGTGCTAATACCCTTGGGACAGGTATTAATTCTCTTCTTCTTCTACTAGCTATGGGTAAATAGCAGGACAGACCGAGTTCTATTGCCTTGGATGGCAACTGGTCTACCGCAGAAAGAAATGTCAACCTACTGCGGGAAAAAAAATCTGCCTCGTCAGTCATGTATCGAAAGATACATGATTGCCTAAGCGTGTATTATAACTGACTGATTGTCAAGTGTCATGAGTAAGCGTTACTCATGGATTGAGAATATTATATGCATTGGAGAAAATTCTTTATCTATTTAGCGTGTCTCTTCAGGACATGGTTGATCATAGCTCTCCACAATTTCCTGTCATTTGTAGCTCTTTTTTTATTTCTCCTAAACCCTGTTCTACCATTCATTCACACAAGCTCGTTAAGCAGGGATTATGCATTACTACACCATCCCCGTCTTGCCTTCAATATATCCTGTAAGTGTCAAATCTTCCAAGCCTTCTTTTCTCATTATATCCCCTAGAAATTTCAACTGTTCTGATGTTAAGCATAACTGTCTTTTTTGTTTCCATTTTCTCTAAAGCTTCGTCGTTGCTCACGTGTTCAGTCCATGGTATTCTCAGCATCCTACTTTAGTATCACATTTCTGCTTCCTCAAGTCTCTTCTTCATCTGTGATGAGATTGTTCAGCATTCGATAACATTTAGGAGGAGTAATTGCTTCTAATGAAATTTTCCAGTTTCTTAATACATTGCTTAACTTTTGGAAGGCATCTTCCGCTATTCCAATACCTCTTTAAAATAGAAATGCACTGAAAATAAGGAAATAATTATCAGTTGCCAGAAACTGAAGCATGCGTTACTGAGAAAACAAGGCTATTACATGTATAATATAAAGACATTTATTGATTTGTTTGTTTTTTTTTACGTTTTATCAACCTTTTGGATGGTATTTAAAGCCAAAACATATTTCAGATTGTAGGAGTTAGCTTAAAGTAACCGGTTTTCCCAAGTAGTCTCCACTCTACCTACTGAATGGGTTCGATGTTGCTTAACTCTGGTGATTGAACGAAAACATGTGTTTAAAGTGTGATTTGACCGAAGGTTAAATATTTAATTGTATTTTAATTAATTAATTAATTCTCTTTCTACGGCTTATCAACACATTACAGATTCTTTAAAGCCAGAAAATATTTTTAGATTGTATTTTTTTGTTGAGATAATGATTTAGTGATATAAGTATTACTAATTAATCCATAGCTGGGGGATAAGAGGTGGATTGATACATTTCCAAGGGTATCTGTGTGTATGAATATAACAGACCAAAACGGGAATTGAAACTTGACTCTCCGTTTAACAATTCCTAGCCATTGTCCATTACACCACCCGCACATCCAAGCTTACAGAACATGGTATTCTCAAGCAGTCACTCATCTAAACAATTGATCAATGTTGCTTAACTTCGGTGATCATACAGGAACCAGTGTTTCAACCAGTGATATGGCCGTGAGCATTAATTTTTTTTTAAAATAAAACCACATGAATTAGCTTGAAATAAAGATTTAACCATTCCCGAATGCGTAAGCCATAGTTTATCTTAACCTAATGTCCAGTTTAATTTTTGGTCAATAAAAATTATAATAAAGTTAATGAATAAAAATAATGTTACTTTTGCCGAACTCTGCATATATACAGTGTGCGGCAGAAATATCTCCCACATATTCGTCCCAGAAATACCTTCTACATAATGGTAAAACATTAGTGGCAATGGTGTCTTCATCTAGCTAATGTCTTACTATTATGCAGGAGGTATTTCTGATTGATTCACTTTCTATGGCTCATCAACCCTATGCAAGTTATTTAAAGCCAGAAAATACGTTTTTTTAGATTGTAAGAATTTTTTTTGAGATAATTATTTGGCGATACAAGTCTTACTAATTATCTTGTAACTGGAAGGAATACGGGTGAATATAACGAACCTAACAGGAATTGAAACTCAGCTCTCCAATTAACAATTCTAAGCCATTATTCATTACACCACCCGCACATCCAAGCTTACAGAACCTGAGATTCCCAAACGGTCACCCATCCAGGTACTGACCAGTCTCAACGTTTCTTATCTTTTGTGATCGTACGGGAATCGGTGTTTCAACGTGATGTGGCCGTAAGTTAAATATTTGAATACAACTCGTTTAATAATGAATTGTCAGAAGTTAAAATAAGCTTGACTGATTCAATAACATAAGGACTTCAGATTCATTCATTTGGTTTTTAAAATCACGCCCTCAAAACGGAAACCTCTATTCGCCATACACTGTTACAGACGATTACTAAGTTTTTAATCGTTCCGTAGTTCGAACCCTTCGAGTTCTTCCAGGCAATTTTCTTTTAAGCACTAAACGTGTGACTTCCCTACTTGCAGTATTGGAGGTTACTTTTGAAATCTGAGCATTAATAAGATTTGAATTTAACTAGTTGCAGTATTAGAGGTTACTTTTGAAAGCCGAACTTTAATAAATTTTGAATTTAACTAGATGCAGTATTAGAGGTTACTTTTGAAAGCCGAGCATTAATAAGATTTCAGTTTAACTAGTTGCAGTATTAGAGGTTTGTTTTGAAAGCCGAACATTAATAAATTTTGAATTTCGCTACTTGCTAAATTTTAAAAATCAATTGATAACTGTTAACGAACGGCTTTGAAATGAACCTAATACAGGTTTTGGGCGAAGCAATACCTTTAAAGACACCCCACAAAAAATGAAACCTGCATAGCAGAAATTATTTATGTGTGTACGTGTCAAATCAAAAATACAGGTCATCATTAAGGGGCTATAGTAATGTTCAAAAACTTGTAACGCTTTTCCCACGCAATTGTCGCTAACTTTCTTTATTTCCTTCTCATCCCGGAGTTCATGCTTCGATAGTCATTGGGGTAACCTAATAATAATGTGCACAGTTGTAAGATGTAGGGAAAAGGGACCAAAGGTGAACTTTGCTCCTTGGTATGTGGGGACGACATTCTTTAGAAAAGTGATTATTGAGACCCAATTTACACACTCACACACACACACACACACACACACGTATATATATATATATATATATATATATATATATATATATATATATATAAGATAACCCAAAGATAACGATATAAAAAGAACATACATAAAGAAAAATGCCCCAAACCTTATAAAAACAATGTTTTATCGCCAAAATCTTTATGTTAAGAGGAAAAACCAAATGATTTTTTTATTAAATTATATTTTTGATCCTTTTTAGAATTTCAAATATTTTGGTTAAAAATTTTGTTTTTCTTGCGTCAACATGTGACACTGAATTAGTATGGGAAATTTTAGCGTCTTTTTTGCGGTAAAACAAACGGCGGAGAAAGCAAAGAGAAATAACTCCACTATCTTTCCCAATAATAGATTGCGATTCATAAATAATAAAGAAAAGGAATCATTGGAAGGTTATGATTGCTTACGTCCTGAAGGAACATGGCATTAAAAAAGAAAGAAAGCGTTCATTAACACTTGCTAAACGCTTGCGGAACCAAACAGTGGATATGAGCATAGTTAGATCGCAGCTAGTACGTTTCGGCAGCAGTGAATTGCGTTATGTGTGATATGCCACGTCTTGAATACATCAGGCTGTTTCTTGTTCATTGCTAGCGAAAAGGCATCACTAATGGAGGTGACTACGTCCATAAAGGGTCTCTTTTCTAGGACCAATCCTCCTTTTACTTTAAAAAATGATCTGCCTAAGAGTATGCTGTGTTCATTTGTGAATATCTATGCCAATGATACGACGAATTATGGGTGCACCTCCAAAATTCGTGATGGCCAGAGAAAATCTAACTGGTTACATTCAATACCTCGAAAACCAAATTCGTTACATCCCATCATCGCCGATCCGACCTCGAACTACTACTAGTCACCATGAATGGATGTCCCCGTGCCTTGAGTGACTATTGGGCCTTAAACTTACCCCAAACCTCAAGTGGAGCTCATACATCCGATCCATCGCTAATGATGCAGGAAAAATGGTCGTTTTACCTGTACCACTCCAGTGAGAACCTGACTTCTTTTGCTGTCTGTATAAGAGATAGATCAGACCTAAAATAGAGTATTGTTGTACTGATCAGGCCTGAAATAGAGTATTGTGGTACTGATCAGGCCTAAAATAGAGTACTATTGTACTGATCAGGCCTAAAATAGAGTATTGCTGTCATATTTGGGAAGGAACTTCCCAGTCTTCATTTTCAGGTCCTGAGTCCAAAAGCGTCCCCGCATTCTTGTGGGTGACAAATTATTTTCTACCCTCCAACTTCTCTCTCATAGACGGGATGTGGTAAGCCTCTCACCGCTCTGTCGCTACTTCCATGGAAAGTGCTCGGACGAGCTATATTCCTTGGTTCCGCCAGTTTTAACATTCACGGCAAGGACCCGTCATGCTACTCACATTGTAACAAACCACCCACATCTCCTCCGTATTCCATTGGTGAGAAATGAGTTCCCCTCGAACAGCTTCTTCCCGCGAACGAATCTTAACCTGTTCAAGTTTGGGGTTAACCTTTATCTTCCCCTCCTATCCGCATAAACTGACTCTGTCGAGTGACCCCCGGGCTTTGTACAAGGTGAACCACATTGTAAAATACCTAAAAAAAAATTTTTTTAAAAAGTGACGTCAAAATCCGCTAAAAACTTTATCCTTTCATTATCAGTTGTACTTAGTTTAATTTATCACGTATACAAAATATAGGTAGAAAAAAGCAAATGTTGATAATATAGCGAGGGTCATAAAGCACTGTTCGGGGCTTTCCCCACCCCTGGTCGGGGTTAGTACGCACCGGCCCCGATTTAAGGCATAATTATTGTTCCCAATTAAATTTTGTAAGACAAGAATATTGGAGCTCGTTTAATATCTTGTGGTGACATCACTTTTCAGTTTATGCCACACCTTCAGTTACTGGTGACAGTTACATTTTAAGTTGCTTAACCAAATGTTGGAGACACTCTAAGTATATTTCTATATAAAACAATGACTGAGGCTTCATGTGGAATTTTGGGAGAATGCATCTGTCACTCTGATTCTCTTAACTCTTAATTTTGAAGAATTAATCTTGTCGATAATATATGGTGACAAGACCAGTAATTATCAAATAAATGTAAATCACATTCATAGCATGTAATGATGCTTCTTTATTTGCCATGAAACATAATTCTTAGAAAAGAGCATATATATATATATATATATAGATATAGATAGATAGATAGATAGATAGATAGATAGATAGATAGATAGATAGATATTGATAATATTAGTGGTCAATATATATATATATATATATATATATATACATAAATTCCGAAGAGGATAGAATCCAGGTAGAACTTAATGTCCAGGACAGAGTAAGAATATAATATAAAAGGCTCAAACACTAATATTCCATGGTTATAATTTATTACATTGGAATCGTAATCACGATCCAATTCATCAGACCTACAAATTCAAAAAAGAAATCGGAAAATATAACTCCGGGTATAAAAAAAACAAATTTTATAACCATGGAATATTAGTGTTTGAGCCTTATATATATATATATATATATATATATATATATATATATATATATATATATATATATATATAGGAGGCACGGTGGGGTAGGGGTAGTTGTTCGGATTGAGGAATCCATTACATTCACTTACGTGCTAATTACCTTGGGAAAGGTATTAATCCTCTTCTCCCTTCAGCTATGGGTAAATAGTAGGACAGACTGGGTTCTATAGCCTTGGATGGCAACTGGTCTAGGAGAAGGACAACTCTGAATTCAAAATATGCGGAGGGTCGTTTGGGGGCCTTGTGGCACGTAGTGCACAAGAAGTAGCCATCACCACGACTTGAGGACATGTCTTATGAGGTTAAGAAAAACAACTTTGGTAGGTATTCTCAAAAAATGTAAACTCTAAAAAGCTTTCACTAATATCTAACATTTACAAAAATTAAAAAAAAGTAATGTTTTTTTTTTTTTTTTTTTAAAAGATGTATTGCTAGTAATTCTTTTACTATAAAATGTATTTTCATACATTCATAGGGACTTAACTATTTGCTCACAGTTGGGACTAACAGGTACTACCACCCTGGAACCTGGGAACAACAGCAAATATTATAGGTGTTTCCACGCCCCTCAAAACCTTCTGACCAGAGGCCTTGCTGCCGGATGTAGTTTATCGTCATACCCAGGACGCCATTTTAACAGTAACCCACTACCTTGAGTAGTTCTCAGACATTCTATTGGATGAACTTTAGTATTAAAAAATTAAAGACTGACCATGACAGATGACTTGGAAATGCATTTGAATTCAATCTCTAGAAGACATTTTCAAAAGAGAACAGTATTCCCGATAATATACAGCGCAAGCTCGATAGAAAATTAACACGTTCCCTTTAAAAGTTTTATAAGTAAGAGCTCGTAAAAACTCGTGGAAGGAAATCGATTTAAAATTATTTGTCGCGTATTGATTTTCGTGTCACTTCCTAAAACAGTAAGTTTAAATAATGAGACGCGCTTTACGAAATTCAGCATGAAATAATTTTTACTTTTACGCCCATCCATATTTAGCTTAGCATTTCATTTGCGCTTTCATTCGTGTTTGACACAAAGCAAGGAAATCAGGTCAGACAAAATTCGTGCAATAACCTCAACGTTGATAAAACAGCCGACATTTTCTTTTTCGTGATAAGACATAACGTCTTGTAGTTTGTTTTTAGTCCATGTACTTTCAGCCTTTTCCAAGATCATCTTCAGGGCTCAATGACATAGTCGAACTTATTGTAACTGAGATAAAATCTGCATTACGGTATGATGGCGAATTTTAAAACCAAAAAAAAATATTCTATAACTACAACGGATAAATTTTGAACTTCAAAATAACTATAACAGAGCGAATTCGCGCGTGTTTTTAAAAATCATCTTCAAATAAAGGAAATCATATTGAAGATGTTATTTGTTACTATTCCAATTCAATAAAATGGTGAAAGTTTCATTTCTTGAAAATATGCATTTTTACTTGTGTTTTACTTTAGGTACCACATTTTATTCGCTAAAAAATTAATATCTCACGATGAAAAAAATACCCCAAACTTAATAAAAACAAAGTCA